CGACCACCGTGGGGTACACCGGTGCTGCAGGCTGCCGACCATCGGCGGTCGCAAAGTCTCGTCGAACAGCCATACAGCAAGTACTTCAACACGATGAACGCGTACGCGGAAATGGGACGGTCGTCGTTGAACGCTCTCATCGAACAGCGCCGGCGGAGCATGTCCAAGCTCAGGGGACTGGTGATACCGGAAAAAGTGGTGCCAGGGTCCGGAAGCGGTTTTATCGGCGGAGACGGAGATAGCACAGGTAGTGGTGGCGCTGATGAGTTGCATCTGCATCAGGCCGCGATTCCCGACTTGCCGCTAGTGATCAAAATTCCGCTGTCGGAAAACGACGATAATACCGACGCCGCGGTGTTGTGTCCACCCACCAAGTCATACGTCAACGAACCGGTGATGGGTACGGTGACCAGGCGTGCTAACCCGGTGTTGAGACAGTCGTTCGTGGTCGTCCCCGTCCTGACGCCCGCACCTGCGACGGACCAGCGGCGTCCGTCGTCTGCGTCTAGTTCACCGTCTTCGTCTTCGTCTTCTTCATCTACGTCATCGTCGTTGAACTCAAGCCGAGAGGAGCTAAGGCACATACATGACGAACGACCTCTATCGTCTGTCAAGTCATCCAATAAAGGCTCGTTCAAAGCGGATAGCGACGAAGACTCAGCCCTCAGTTCTAGTCGTTCGAGTACGTCACTCCAACAGTATTCGCCAACTTCGTCACCACCGCCTCAGTCACAGCAGCAGCCGCCTCCACTACCATCGTCGTCACCACCGCCCCCGACCACAAACGCGGCCGCCAACTACGGTGGCCCGCCTGCGTGTGATATCGGAAAACGTGTACTGAAAGCCGAAAGCGTGGAGGCCATCAACCGGAAGAACGTCCTCTGCTCAGCCAGGATCAGCAGCGGCAAACCGGAACCACAGCCAGTGTCACCGTCATCTCCGGCCAACAACTACGCATGCAAGACCGAATACTCGCCGAACCTTCAACACTACCACCAGCATCATCACCAGCAACATACGGACGGGCCAGCGTTGAAATCCGCCAAGTCCGGGCTGACGTTCGCCACTGGAACCGCGGTCATCAATAGATACACGCACAACCGGATGTCATCCGTAGAGTCGACAACAAGTGACGATTCGTCCATGCAATACGCAGTAAACGCTGAACCGTTCGGTAGCATCAGCTCGCTGGCATCGTCTACCAGTCTGATTTCGCAACAAGAACTCCAACAGCTCATCGACGAGGCCAATCAAACGTTGGAAGAGAACAACAGTGGTTGTTACGGTATCTCCACAGCTGCCACGATTCCACCGCACTCGGTCGAAGTGACCGTCGTCATCTTACACCGGGACATGGCCACCAGTAGCGTAGGCATCACGTTGGCCGGTGGTGCCGATTATGAAACAAAAGAAATAACGGTCAGTACTCAGTACTATATAGGTACCATTACGAAACCTATCGTTTGCCCTTGCAGTCTTCATTATTATGGTTACCATATATTTATTTATTTTTGGGAGTAGGCTGAGTTTTCTCTGCAACTGTTTTTCATTTTTTGAGAACGAGAGTACGTATTATGTTTAAGGCATTACAGCCATATAGGTAATTAGACACATCATTGTTATGACAATGGGGAAACGAGTCTTATGTATGCGTAATATAAATTGACTATCCATACGAGCGTAAATAGCTTTAGGATAGACCACACGTTTCTCGGGGATAACGCACCGGGCAGCTCGTAAAGGTATGGGAATAGGATGTTGCACATCGTCACATCTTGATGGATCTTGCTTATCGTGACAATTTGTGATCGTTTATTAATTTAATTAGGTTTAGGTGCCTAAATACCTAGGCCGGTGACCCATATATAATTATACTCCAGCGACAAGCGGCAAGGTTTAATGAGTGTTATCACTTATCCGTGGATAATACGAAATATAATTATTGTGCTTATGAGTTCGACTATACCGATGAATTTGTTTTCGCAGGTGTATAAAGTATTGACTGGAAGTCCGGCGGATAAAGACGGCCGCATACGAAAGGGCGACCGCATATTATCAATAAACGGCAAAAGTATGAAAGGAATCACGCATCGAGAATCATTGGCAATACTTAAAGTAAGATTGAATCAATTACATGTCTACAGACATTAATTAATTAGTTGTATTTGTATTTTTTTTAGGCACCTAGGTCTGAAGTAGTATTGGTAATATCTAGGTGCAAGTCGGACATGATCAATGAATCCGTTGGGCTACATCAATCTGCTGATCTATTGACTTCGACCAAAAATGGTAGGTAATAAACGAGGTAGCTTAGTCGAGTAAAATACTAAAATGTCGTGGGGACAAAATGTTCTAACGTCAAACCATCAGATTTATTTTCGTTCGAATTAAAACAATTTGGTTCTCCACACAGTAAACTTAGTCCATGCCTCCGTATTTCAAATAATTTCTGTGTAAAGTTATATTTAATAGATAAGAAGAAAGAAATGACGCAAAACGTCAATCTCGCCTTGTTGGTTGACTATATCGATGGCGTAGCGCACAAGTGTGATAAGTGACATTTTCGTAATTGTTCAGGAGAACGATTTTTAAGTTTGAGATGTTATAACAAATTCAAAAATGTAACGAACTGTACAACATCTATCGGAGTAAATAATGAACTATTCACTTACAACGTTTGGGCATAATGTGCAGAATTGTATGATTAAATTGATTATGCACTTAACTCATTTTTCAAAAAAATGTCACTTATCACACTTGTGCGCTACGCCATCGATATAGAATAGGAACCCCGCTCTTTCTAATTTTGTCAATTCGTAAATCAATGTCTCTATAGTCTATACCTATAATGTCAAGATATCCGGTTACTTACATCACTCATAAACCATATTATAAGTCTGCCATTCATCGAGTGATCGATAATGTTTAAATTGTATTGATATAACAGTTAGTACCTACAGGCAGTGGAGTATTTAGGGGGGAAGGGGGCAATTGCCTCGAGGCGCCAAATATAATGTATTTAGTATTTTATTAAATTGTCGTTAAAAAAAGGCTAAAATCTAAATTATAATTTGTTTATTTAATTAGGAATAAACGGAGTGTTAATGGTAAAATAGAAGTGTTCTCTAAATTAATGGAAGCATAATTAATGCAATAAGGGGAAAATATACATTTTGGGTTATCAATTATCACTTTTACAAGGCTTGAAATAGATTGAAAAAATTTCTGTTTTGGTTCTATTTGTACACCGGTTTCCAATTTTTGTTATCGATTTCAATTTTTAAACGGTGTATACCGGTTTCAAAACCTGGAATATTTACGTTTATTCTTAGTTTATTAATTTTTTTGAATCGCTGGATCAAGCGTCCGATCGCCTATTGTGTAAAGTAAACTTTCCAAAATGTCAAGATACAAATATTTTCAAAAAAAAATACCGTTTTTTAAATTATATTTTCGATTTTTAATTATAATACAAGTATCCAATTTTTTCGATTCGGTATTAAATTTAATAACGGTTTCAGTTTTGATTTTGTTCTCGGTTTCGGTTTTATAACGGTTTATACCGGTTCAAGCCCTGCACTATTAACTAAGTAAAAAAGTTTTTTTGTAAATTAGAGGGGGCTTAAAAGTTTTTTGTGACAATTAATAAAAGAAAACTGAGAAAAAAAGAGGCGCCAAAATGCGTGTTCCTAAGGCGTCAAAATCGTAAATACGCCACTGCCTACAGGCTGCAACACTATAAACTTTTGTGCCATCGTTTCGGATCTACCATCACATTTGACGAATTCCTAAATAAATAGTTATTAATTTAATTTTAATACATACTTACCTATTATTTCATTATAATACTGGCATAATCAGTATGAAGTATAAGCAATCAATTTCTATACATTTCCATACTTCCATAGATGTATACTTAAATTATAAATTATAATTAATTAACTTTTAGTGTTCATTAACCTAACAATAATCAAAACAATTCAAATAATATTTGTGTACCTAGTAGTATCGTTAATTATAAATTAGCATTTATCAATGGTAGTATTGATTATACATGAATATTATGGTAAAACTTTTGCAAAGAAATTGTAACATGATAATACCACAGTCTCTTAAACGATAATAATTATTATTTGTTAAAGATATCCTTAATTTTTTTTTTTTAACTTACAGATGTCATTGCAAATAGAGTGTTTGGACCATTAACTAAAATAGTATTATCAAAAGACGGTTCTGGTTTAGGCTTTAGCTTAGAAGGTGGAAAGAATTCACCAACTGGTGACCAACCATTAACAGTGAAAAAGATATTCACAGGTCAGTAACTTTATTAACTTCATTCTGTCAATAATATTGAATAATTGATTATTTGTCTAGGTGGATGTGCAGAGCAGTGTGGACAGATATTAGCTGGAGATGAATTGGTTTCAGTAAATGATATAGATGTGACTGGAATGTCGCGCACCGAAGCATGGAATTTGATGAAGAGGCTAGTAAACGGAACTGTTACACTCTGTATACGACATGTAGTCTAAATACTATTATACTAGCATATAATATTTTTATTGTATGAACAATCTAAAATTATATATTGTATCTTTAATTTATATCTAACTTTAAAAAATGATTTATAGAGAATTTGTTATATTGATTGGCAATAAAGTTTTTTTACCATCTTTGTAAAATACAATTTTAATAATTATTAAATAAAAATATAACTTAATAATTGTATAAAATAATGTTGTTAGTTTGATTTAAATTTATATATAGTTTCATTTTAAATATTGTGCCATTGTGATTTATGTTAAATAGACTATGGTTTGTATTATTTATATAATATACACATCTTATACATAAATTCATATATGTATAACTGTATAAGCCAGATATTATCATATTATAATCTTATTATCATTTATCAACCTATACCTAAGTTGTAGAACGTTATAGGAAAACATTAATTACACAACATACAAATAGACACTACATTTTTATAATTTTTATTAACTTTCTATCTTCACCTTACTTAAATTGTTTTTAGACACATCAACATTTGATAAGATCTTACTAATAATACCAGTAGCTACTGTTCTTCCATTTTCTCGTACAGTAAATGGTTGTCCAATATCCATAATCATTTTATTCAATAAAGTTATTGTAACTTCAGCATGTTCTCCAGGCATTACCATAGATACATCAGAATCCAGATCAATTCTAGAAGAAAATGAAGTAACTTAATACAAATACACAAGTATACGAACAAGTAAATTACCTGCAAACAATGTTCCATGTATGACTGAATAGTTGCTGTTGATAATTTGATGTGATTGGTTTCGACCGTCCTCCCTCAGAACGTGAAAGAAAATAAATTGTTGCTTTGTAATGATTGTTCAGTACTAAAGTATTAATTGGGCACAAAATCATACCCTTACGAATAAATTTAGGCTTTAGGCCTCTTAACAATACACCAACATTTTCTCCAGCTTTGGCACTTGTCACTGATTTATTGAACACTTGAATATCCCCAATACTGGTTATTTTTTTTTCATCAAATCCTAATAACTCAACTTTATCATTTTTGCATACCGTTCCTCTCTTTAATGTGCCTATAATAACAGCCCCTCGGCCAGGTACTAGTAAACAATTGTCAATAGGCAATAAAAATGGAGAAGTAAAATCTCGTTTTGGAGTTGGTATGTTATTGTCAATTACATCCATTAACTTTCTTATAGATTGTTCTCCCAGTTCTGATGTGTCACCTTTTAAAGCAAGAAGTGCTGATCCAAAAATGCACGGGACCTCATGTCCTTTAAAACCAAAATCTGTTAATAGTTCTCGTATTTCTAGTTCAACAAGTTCAATAACATCATTTTCTGTTATGTCACATTTATTAATGAATACTACCACATGTTGTACTCCAACCTAAAAAAATTCAACTATCATTAAAATTAATAAAAATAAATAGGTAATAATTTGGAATTTGTGAGAAGAACTAAACATTTCTGAGAATTTTAGATTCTGTGTAGTGGCATAGTATTGATTTTACAATAATGTGTGTATTGTATATATTGTTACAATGACAGTTAAAAAATATTAAAAATTCATAGGCACCCTTTTTTTAATTAACATTTAATGTTTAAATTTTGACAACATAATACGCAAATTGAAAATTAATAAATGATTATGTAGTTGAAAATGTATTAAATATTCAACTTTTATAGCTAAGGATTGAAAATTAAAAACAAGGTTCTTCGCTTAAAAGGCTATTTTATGTTCAAATTTATATAAATTACATGATTTGTCGGCTTTGTGTCAAAAACTCGTAAGAAATTTTTATCAAATTTTACAGGAGAAGGAAAAAACCTGCAGCACTCAGCGGTCCGGTTGTATTATTTTACAGTACCCGTTATCCATACATTACAGTGACTCACTTGTAACCTACTGGTACAGCAGAGCGACACCTATTTTCCCGCATTTTTTTTTATAATTGATTTGTATTAATAGGGAAATATGGCCTATAGGTTTAGTTAAAACTCTTATTGTACTGGTAACAAAATAATGTGAATCAAAAGTTTAAAATACTTATACCTGGTTGCATGAACAATCGTTAAACATTTAAAGAATCGATAGTGAGCTAATGATCCCATAAACATATTGTAGTGGCCCATATTTTCATGCAACCATAAATAATATAAAGCATATTATCCACACAGAGACAACAAAATTAAAATAAAATAATGTTTGTGTTTTTCAAAACAATTAAGATGGACTAGTCAGTGACAGAAAGGTTGAGTTTTTGTTTACTATTTTACAAGGACTCGGCATAAAATAAAAATTAATATTTTAAAACAATTGATATACTATATACATTTCATTATATGATTTTTACTAATAGGTAATTACAAATAATAATCAATGCAATGATAATTTTTAAATTAACATATTATTTTACTGTAAGGTTAGGTATTTACTTGTTTAATCAATAGCAAATGTTCTCGAGTTTGGGGCATTGAACCATCTGTAGCAGCGACTACCAAAATAGCACAATCTATTTGGGATGCTCCAACAATCATGTTTTTGACAAAATCAGCATGGCCGGGACAGTCAACATGGGCATATTTACGCTTTGACGTTTCATAACCCACATGAGCTATATTTATAGTTATACCTCTAGCTTTCTCTTCAGGAGCCTTATCGATTTCATCATAAGCTACAAAACACGACAGACCATCCTTTTCAAGTACCTTGGTGATTGCTGCTGTCAGTGTAGTTTTTCCATGATCAACGTGCCCAATTGTACCTATTTGTACCACACTAATTACGTATGATTATATATTGAAAATTGTCTAGACTTACCAATGTTGCACGTTGATTTAGGATTCGTACTGTATAATTTTAGTATTGTTCGGTTAACTCTGAATATTTTGTTATAAAAAAATATTTTCCTGCTCCATGTAATGTTCAACGAGCAAAGTGATTTTATGGACATTTCGTCCACAAATTCTTTTAAGTGTTCTTGTGATATAAATGTATAGTGATTACTAATCTGTTTCAAATATCATCGAAATTGTATTTATTATTGTACTTTATAATAGATACTATTATTATGGGAAAAAATGACATAAAAATTAATATAATACTATTTAGTAGGTATCTAACTATTATAGTAAGTAGTAACTACAATCAATTTTATGTTTGAATGAATATTTTATATCATTTGACATTTACGATCGACGGAAGGGAAAATATTAAAACCAAGATGTCTTGAATAATAATATGGGTTAGGTAATCAGGAATCCGGCTATAGATAATATTATTTATATTTCCAATTTTGATTAGCATTGTTATCAGTGGGTGATAACACTATCATATATCTTATCACATATTATCACAGAACAATAAAACAAAATAATATTCAAATGTATTAATGGAGTATGGCCTCCGGCGGGAGAATGCATTAGATATTAGAATTAGAATGTCTATCACAGATATAAGCTACTGTAAATTATAATTTATATTATATATTTGTGATGTCTATAAATTTTTGGACTAATTTGTTTGGTTAAATTTAGTATGCGATAAATAACTGAAAAAGAAAACAAAAATACATTGCAGACCACAAAGATTTCTGAAAAGAACACAGGGTGTATCAATACTCAATAGACCGTGTATGGTGTATGTGTGTTGAGTGTAGAAGTTCTATGGATTTATCATATTAAATAATATATTTTATATCATCTATGGCAATCGCCAATTGTCGACATTCGTCTGCAACGATTAACAATTCTAATAATTTTAGTGAAAAAAAAATAATAAGCCATCAATATATACAGATAGTTCGTTAAGCAGTATATATTATAATGTAAGTTTTAACACGAATTCGCACATTTCGTTATGTTCAGATATTTTTCAAGAAATATTTCGATAGTTTCAAGTTACAGTTCGGAACGAGATGAAGACGGATGAAGCAGGCACGGCACTAGAATTTTTTTCCAGGGGGGGCAGAGTGGGGCAAATATTTTTTTTACATGGGCTAAAATTGTTTCAACAAATGCTGAGGTTATTTAAATGAAATATAAATATTTTCGTATCATATAACATAATATAGCTATTAGCTATATAGTACCTACATACGTTTTAATCGTTTTATATTGTATGCTCTAAACGTCTAAACATATAATATTTACAAACTTTTGAATAGTTAAAAATGTTTTAAGAATAATATCAAATATTTTTTTTGTACCTTATGTAATATGTAAGAAAATGTTTAATCACAGACCTAAGACCTTCAACAACTATATTCATAATGATAATATGATATACAAAAATAATAATTTCTTTATAAGCTAAATATTGATTTTTTATAGAATATCTGTTTATGCACCATACAGTAAATGATTGAAAATCTTTTAATATTGAAAAAGTTAACAAAAATGTATACAATTGCACTGATATCAGTAGGAATACAATTTGTTTTAAATAAAAACTTTTGATTACCTACCTTATATTTAACTAGGTAGTACATTTTAAATTTTTAATTCAATACATTTTTAAATTGGTATTTGCATAGTAGTGTATGTATTGACTATTGAAGTACCTACTTTATATTTTTTGTTAAATTTTGGAGGTTAAAATAGTTCATATATATACATTAAAACATAGATATTTTAAGAAATCTTTTTTTATTAATTATCAAGTAATATGTGAACTAATTACCATGACAAATAAGATTATAAAAATAACAAAATAAGAAAATTGAATAAATTATTTAATTATTTGAAATAAGAAATTTGTCATGCTAATTACTAAACTAATATAAGTAGGTAGGTACGAATACCAACTCCTTACACAATAGTATTGTGTTAATCAAACATAAACATATTTAAAATAATAAGTCAACTAAAAATATTTTTAACTGTATACAACAAACATTAATTATATCGTACATATTTTTCAGTGGGGGGGCTGGCGAGGGGGCTGATCTGTTTTCTGGGGGGGCTAGAGCCCCACCTTGCCCCCCTTGGCGCCGTGCCTGGGAGGAAAATAGCTGTTTTTTCGGTGGCTTCACGTAGGTACTGGACGTTTGCATTGTTGATGCACTCTACCTAGGTTTCACCGGAAGAGTCGATGTTTCAGCGTAAGTTTGTTTTCATATTATTTCGGGATTTACGTTTACTTTTTAGGCATTATAATAATTAAAAACATAATATAACGTAATGTTGTAGTAGAAGCTGGAAACTGTAGTGCCTATATTCTAATTTTTGAATTTTTTAAATTTTAATGTAACATTTACGGTGTTTCCGAATTGCGGACAAAGTGACAAAAACCATGTGAGTTGCGGACGAAATCTAAAAAGGTAACATACGAATTGCGGACACAAATATTAGATACTAATTGCGGATAATGTTAATATTCACGTGGTGAAATCAGTAGAATATCATATATACAGACTGTTCTAAAAACTATGACAATAATTAATAATGACGATAATTTATAAATATTTTATAAACAATTTTTTCCACAAAATTAAAACAGTCTATAATTCAACAACATTTTAAACATAACGATTGCTCTTTTGCAAGACACAAATATTTTTAACCCCACCTACAAATTTTTTTTTTAGCTATTGTCATAAGTCCTGAAAAAGTGGTGAAGGGAAATATTTGTGTCCACAACTAACGTAGTTTTTATTAAAAAAAGCTCTGTACGCAATTAGTATTATGACAACGAAACTCGTGTCCGCAATTGTTATATTATAATTCCTAACCTAAATAATTCGTCCGCAACTAGTATGTGTCCAACATTTATTATGCCTACACAAAACACTTTTCAACAAAAATTGAATTTTTCACAAAATTTATTATTTTAACGATAAATGACAATTTTAGTTCCCTATTATGGTGTATGTATTTAATACAAACAAAAAATTATTATTTTAAAATACAATTTCCTATATTATTATTTACTGGATACAAAGAAACTTAAAAATAAACAATATGATCATTGATTAGGTACATACGGAGTACCTATAATATATTATGCATGGAAAACGAAGGTCGAATTTGACTACCTACTTATTGTGTACACATCAAACACAACAAAGAAATAATAAAAAAAAAAAATTAAAAATTAAATAGGTACACATCATAGTAAAATCAAAATATTCATCGTTCCACTCAGAATCTAAAATACAAATTATAGGTCCCCGATACAATTAAAATTTTCACAATATTGAATAATAATTAATAATTTTGTGATCAGCAGTATTCGTAGAAAATGTTAGATTTGAAATTTTAGAATCTACTTGGTATTTTAGCCGATACTGTAAATTTGATGAATTTACTGAGTATACCTTTATGTTATCTAAAATCCAGTAATCACATTTTTATTTAATGATTTATAAAATACAATAAGCTTTTATAAAAATATGCTTGTACTTCTGCAGATATCTATTCACCATATTAATAAATAATTAAATTAATAAACGAAAATAAAAATTCAAATAATATATCATATTTGATACCTATTATTATAATTCAAATTCAAAGTTATAAACTATTTTGATTTTTGTCATACAAAATTTCAACGAACAAATATTGTTCCTTAACATGGAACTCTTTGATATAAAAAGTTGCATTTTATGATATCCGTGGATTCATCATATTGACGTACCTAGTATAATATCTATCATTATTCATTTATATTCCATGGCAAATCTCGGTCATTGCAGCAGACACAACCGTCATTAAAAATTCCAAAATTTCAACAAGCAAAGCAGATATGAGCAAAAATCTTACTGCGTTCATTATAATTTTAATTTTCAAAAATCACAATATTTTAAGTTTTGTATTCCCTGGAGCGTTTCGTCATCGGCGTCACAGTTCACACACGTCACGGATTCTGCCGAAAGAGTCGATAATTAAACTTATTAAAGTAAGTTTTTTTTCATATTCTTTTGGGGCTTAATTTTACTTTCATTTTTTCTTAAATATATGGTAAAAAATAAATCATATTTCGCTATAAAAAAATAATAAAACATAAAGTATTTTAAATTTAAGTGGAATCATTTTTTATGATCATAACCACATTGACTACAGATTATTAAGCATTAGTACAGCAGTAGTTTATAGTCATTTTTGCCCAAAAAATTACATTTAAAAGTGTCATCGTGTATTCGTGTATACAAATTATAATAATATACTCTGAGGGCCGTTCTTACAATGTCCGGTAAAGTGTCGGTTAACGCTAACCGACTAATAACAGATTTTATTACCTGGAGGATTATACGGGTTATGTGTAGGTTAAATTTAACCGGACATTGTAAGAACGGCCTTAAAAGTTTTATAAATCCACGAACACCTACTATTTTAAAATTACAACAAAATAACTAAAATCGATATTCTTTGTTATTGTAATAAGTAATTTCGTCCAAATTTGAACTTATAAGGTCTGTGAAAATTAACTGTGTTTTTAATAAATTATTTAGTTTTTTTTTGTTAGAGTATGAACACTCACTATGAACTATTTTTGAGAATTCTTGTTTTACATTTTCAATCGTTACCAATAAAAGTTGAACATTTTATAAATTTTACTACTAAATAGTAATTTGTAAACTATCAATTTGATAAATTTTTTTAAAAATTGAACTTTAATTTCTTAAAAAAATGGATCTTATATTTATCTTAATTGTTTCTCAATTGCTATTATAACTACTCATGAATAAACTCTTATTACATTTTCATATTATAGATAAACAAATAAGAAATTTTTGTATGAATATCTGACTACAAAATATTTTGAAAATTGTCAAGATTATGATGAATTTTGTAGAAATTTGAATTTTAAATGCCCGTAAATAAAAACGTGACTGTATATTTCTAATATTTTTTAACTGCTATTATATCAACTTACGATTAACTTTGTATTATCTTTAAGCTTTTTGACCCAACGAATAAAATTCATAGAATACAGAACTAAAAACATTTCATA